AAATTTATTTACATGTAAGGTTTTAACCGTGAAGTTATTCTTTTAGTTAAAAGACATGTAAATACACATTCCGACGCATTTTAAGTCCGATATGAAACTGATCACTATGGTAACGGGGGAGCGCGTGGTCATGCAATCCCATGTAAAGAAACCGTCAGGCGAAGGGTAGACGTCTCATTTCACGGCAGGTTTGAGCAGCCTACCCGGCCCGGTGAGGACTTGGCCCACGTGGCCCATGAAAAACCTAATTTCCCTCTGGGATCAATAAAGTATTTTTGAATTTGAATTGAATTTGAATTGAGACAGCCACAGTCTCCGTCACCCTCAGATGCCAGCAAAGCGGCGTTCATGGCGTCACCCAGTTCCTGCTTTCTGGCCAACCGGAACAAGCTCTCCACTTCCTCCGACCAATCGGTGAAGAACGAGTCTCTGGGGGAGCACACCTACATCCAGCTGTCCACCAATCAGCCGCAGAGCCTGGAATCAAAAACGCTYCTCTACCAGGAGAATGACACTCCTGAGTTCACAGCTTCAGGTAAATAAAAAAACTTTTGTTTTTAATTGGTTATAAATGGTTAAGTGGAGCTGGTTAAAGTAAAACTTCAGGAAGTCTGGAGAAATATCCAACAAAAGTAAACAAAACATAAAGAAATGAAGGGATCAACTTATTTTTTACCATAAAAACTATCATTCATATTAGAGAGAAGATAAAACCTGATGTTTAAATATTTTTAAAGGAAAACATTTAGAAAACAGAAGAGAAAGCAGGAAAAGTTGAAGATCCTGGTCCAAAACATCAGGGGCCTCATGCATAAAGGATTGCACAGCTTTCACTCTAAAAGTTGACGTACGGACAAATTTAGAAAAGTGCTCCGTACAAAATATTCAGATGTATAAAACCATGCACACGCAGGTTCCTGCGCACCTTTCCTTTATACATCCTAATGAACGTGGAACTGAGACTCCTCCCCCTGACACGCCTCCATTTAAATCTGTAAAATAGATGTGAATGTGTCCAGAGTGTGAGATTCTCCTCCGATTGTCCTCTCTGTGGGATCAGAAATGATTTTTAGATGCAGGAAAATTATACATTAAATGGAGAATGTGTGAGAAAACTGTCTAAATAAATAGAGGTGTAAGAAAAATACGTGTTTAATACGACTGAAGTCAAGATGAAAACACCATTGTTAAATAAAATGATTTGTGGAAGGAATAAAACCATACAACACCAGAATTCTGGAACCGAGTGAGGTTTAACTGTCACCGGGCTGACAAGGAAAACCACACTGACCAAAAGCCAGGAAGTGCATCAATTTATACGATTCTTCAATGCCTGAGTTCGCCCCCTACTGACCTACGGCTGAATCACAGGCATTCATACAAAAATCTCAACCAAATGTTATAATAACGTTTCACTTATGTGTTGTTTATGGTTCGGACATGTAACTACTCTATATCAATTAACACATAATAGATCAAACATTATAAAAAGGAAACCCTAATAATCTAGTGTTGTGCTTCTAACATCAGTACTAATCTGTAATAACTATAAATTTATTCAGAAGGGTGTAAAAATGAGTTTGCCACACGCAAAGGTGTGTTGTGTGTTGGTGTGTACGTGTGTGTGCTGCAGCTGCACATGAGGCTGAGAGACATTTCCAGCTTTACACGTCTTTAATAAATCACTGTAAACACAGGAACTTATGACTTTGGTAGAGCTTCTTCATTGTCCTCTTTTAAATCTCTTTTTAAAACATTTCGTTATGAGATGGCTTTTAATTGTTGACCTTTGCGTGTTTTATTTTTATTTTGTGCTATGTTTTTTTATGTGTTTTGTTTCTATTATTATGTAAAGCACTTTGTAACTGAGTTTTGAAAGGTGCTATACAAATAAATGTATCTATCTATCTAACTTAGAAAAATATTTATTATATAGTTGAAGTGAAGGAACGAGTCGCTGTGATTTATATTTTAGAATCATGAAGCTGCATGACTCGTCTCACTACAGTAAAAAAACCTGATTGTAATTTGTTCAGTGTGATACAAAAAAAGGAAAAAAAACACGCTGTCCTCAGTTCTTCTTGTGGTGATATCAGCCTGCAGAACAGCTGACRTTGATCCATAAATTACGTACAACTTTACGCAGCAACAAATCTATTGTGTGCATGTTGTGGAGCTGAGGAATCATCACAGCTGAGCTGCTCTGAGTTAACCTGCTGAGTTGACAAAGTTTTTTTTCTCAGTGAGGATTAAAATGTTTCTTAGATAATTCACACATTTTATTCCCCTCAGCTGTGTGTGCGCTCTGCGTGTGTTTCCAACTCCATGACAATATAAACAGTTTACAGTTTACAGACTGGACTGAGGTTCTTTGATCATTTTTAGGCTGATCTATTTTCTTGTCTGAGGTTAAATGATTTTCAGTCCCGGGGTTCAGTTTCATCATCGTTCAGTTTAAACAATAAACTGAAATAAAAATCTAACACCGTGTTCAGACGCTCCTTACATCCAGAAAACACAACAGAGTCATATTTCTGTGGATTCAGGTCAGATTCATGACTTTGTGAGGGTTTTTTTTTGTCACTTCAGTAGAAAATGAAACCAAATATTAGTTTATTTAGTTTATTTCTTCATCAT